CACGTCAGTGGGTGGCGGTGACTCACATGGCTGGCACAGTGCTAAAGACCTCATTTCATTTCATCTCTATGCCAATTCTGCATGTTCACCATTATTATCCCTGTTCTACAGAGGGCAAAACCAAGTTCAGACAGGTTCACTGACTTCCTAATTTCACACCGCTCAGCAGAGGCAGGGATCAAACCCAGGTGTGACCCTAAAGCCTGTGCCTGCTCTATTAAACTTTTCTCAGGGTTAGGGGATCTGATGGCCCACTCCTCCTATTTCCATGTGGCAGGACCTCCCCTAGAGGGATGGCACAGTCCTCCCTGCTCTCCGGCCCCTCCTCATTCTTCTCCAGGGCAGGAGGACCAACACCTGACGGGCATGCCCAGTCCACCCTCTCTTCTGGCTCACTGGGATCTCCTTGCCAGCGAAGCACACGTAATCTCCACCCCCTGCTGCCACAAACCAAGAGCTCCTCAGGGTCAGGGAGGCTGGTGGCTGTCCAGTTCTGCACGTGACTGGGCAGAGAGCTTTAATGCTGGGGGCCGGGGCCGCAAGCCCACCTGCCTATGAGTCTAAGGCACCTTCTCCTGACAGCATTGTCAGTTAAAATGCTGCTATTCGGCTCTTCATCCATTGACTCCTGTGTGTACCTTCCAAACTGGACCAGAAAACAAGAGTATAATTTCCAGAACCCCCTCAACACCAAACACTGAACACAAGCACTGCCTTGTATATGTCATAAATTCACAATCAAGGTGGCGTGGGTCAGGGGCAAAGCCTTGTTCAATTCCTATATGATCCTTCCCATTTGGCAGAATGATGTAATATCGAAAAAACAAACCTAGTGCTGTTGATTCTGACTCATGGTGACCCCATGTGTTACAGGGGAAAACTGCTCCCTAGGGCTTCCTGGCTGAAATCTTTATACAGAGGCAGAATGCCAGCCTTTCCTTCCAGAGTGCTCCTGGGTGGGTTTGAACCACCAACCCTTACACTGGTAATCAAGTGCAAACTGTCTGCCCCACCAAGGGACCTGGAGTGATGGAAAACTGGGACAAAGGCCTGGATTATATAATCAGACTATAAACAATCAGGTTTAGCTGCTGCTCCGACTCCTTGGTGGAGATCCCTCCCAGCAGGGTGACAGACTCCATATGGGAAGTGCAGGCAGATGGTCCATATGCAACCAAACCAAGAGACACCTACATGGACCGTCCCATCTAATTCTTTTTTAGTCACTGTTTCACTCTACAAATAACAGTGCATTACTCAAAGTTGTCTCAGTCAAACTGTAACAGAAACTCTGGAAATAAAGTGCTGAAAACTTACCAATTTTCCCAATGAGATTGTTTTGCAGGTAGAGGATTTTCAAATCCCGGCACCACTTGTCAATATGTTCTAATTTTTCTATTTCCTGCTGATGCAAGGAGAGCTCCTCTAGGGAGAAAATGATGCAGTCATTGTGCTCCGCGTTCCGCCGAATGAGATCTTCTGTGACTGAAAGACAGAGGACCGCTGTTTCATTTCCATCCCCATTGCTCACTGTCAAGGTATTGGGTTATTGACATGCTGGCCGGCTTTTCTTTGTGGTTAAATGACAATTCTAGAACCAGCTATGGGGTGGGAAGGGTGTAAGCTAGTTGTAATGCCCTTCTCCTGTTGGTTTTTGATACAGGTTGGGTTTTCAGAAACGTTTAGTGACTTTTAAAAGGAAAGAGATAAGAAAACTGCTGCCTTCTGCACTTTCATGGCCTGGAGATATGAGTCGGAGATGAGCAGATTCCATGTACCTTAAAGCAATATCTTATTTGGCTTTGTATTCAAAGAGACGACAAGCTGCTGGACAGACACAGACAGCTAGTGGTTAATGACTAGGATGGTGATGTTGAATCTTGCGGTGGTACCATGTCAAGGTGGACGAGATCCACTAAATGATCCCAGCACAGAGTGACTTACTACTACTGCGAGGCACAGTCAGCCAGCAGAGGGCATAACTGTGAACCATCTCCCACCACTCCATAAGGGAACATTCATGGATTCAGTTAACTAGTAGTTACTATCTTAACTAAATACAAAGATAACCCTAAGCCCAGATTTTGCATTGCAGTCTCTGACAGCAACCACCACTGGTTCTGTTTGGAGGAAGAGTGAAAGAATCTGCTCACAGAAGTGGGGACACCCACCCCTCAGCGCTGGGCTGTTTGTGGTAACGATGGCAGCAGGAGATGGAGCCAACATGACGGTCCACAGTGGCAGCCAAGAATAAGACCGTGAATCACCTTCACAAGACTGAGCGAAACCAGAGAGAATCGTGAAGAACCTCTCATTTCCCAGCACCATTAAAAGTGACCTCATGCATTTTAATCTTCCTGCCATTAGGCAAAAAAAAAAAAAAAAAATCGCTGTTGAGTCAATTCTGACTCATAGCGACCCCCATTGGGTTTCTGAGGTGGTAAATCTTTACAGAAATAGATTGCTCACTCTTCCGTCTGTGGACTGGCTGGTGGGTTTGAACCACCAACCTTCTGGTTAGCAGTCAGATGCCTTAGGCAGAACACAGAAATACTGCATGTGCATCCCCAAAAATAAGAAACATTTCTTTATTACCACTTACAAGGTACCAGGCACTGTTCTAAATGTTTTGCATGTACTAACATATGAGTTTACCACTTGTCTGACAGTTTGTTATACTGTGTGGCACATGTGTTGCTATGATGCTAGAACCATGCTACCATATGTTTTAAATACCAGCAGGGTCACCCAAGGTGGACAGGTTTCTATGGAGCATCCAGACTAAGGAAGACTAGGAAGGAAGACGTGGTGAAATACTACCCAAAAAAACTGGCCAGTGGAAATCTTGGGAATAGCTATAGAACACTGTCTGACAGAGTGCTGGAAGATGAGCCACTCAGGCTTAAAGGCACTCAAATTATGACTGAAAAGGAGTTACTTCTCAAATTAGATTCAAACTCAATGACGTGGATGGAGAAAAACTTTCGGGACCTTCATTTGCTGATGTGGCATGACTTAAAATGAGAAGAAATAGCTGCAAACATCCATTCATAATCAGAACATGTAATGTATGAAGTATGAATCAAGGAAAACTGGAAGTAGTCAACACTGAAATGGAACACTTGAAAATATATATCCTAGACATTAGTGAGCTGAAATGGACTGGTATGGGCCATTTCTGTTAGGCCAGAACAAACTCAGGTCACCAACATTTCAGTTGGCAGCTTCCTCCAGGTGTCAGGCCCTGATAAGACAACTGAGGTGGCAGAACCCGCCCAGGCTGGAAAGCCCCATGTGATGATAAACTTTCTCCTGTGAAGCCCCCTCATGCTAATTAGGTGCAGACCCATGCCAACAGCTAATTGAACCCTGCCATTTCCTTAGAGGACCCTGTCATTTCCTTGGTGTCCCCAATTAGGTCCTCTCTGTGTCTATAAAAATCTATGCCCCTGCCTGGGGGTGTGACTTCTCTGGCCTTGATGCTAGGGCACAAGAACCTCGCCCGGGAGTGCTAATAAACTGCTGCTCTGAAACTCTGTGTCCTGGGGTCTCGGCAGCTCTGCATTACAATTTCGAATTGGACAATCATATGGTCTACCATGAGAGGAATAACAAATTGAAGAAGAATGGCATTTCATTCATCATCCAAAAAAAAAAAATCAAGATCTATCCTGAAGAACAACACTGACAGTTATAGGATAATATCCATATGCCTACAAGGAAGACCAAAGAATACAACTATTATTCAACTTTACACACCAACCACTAAAGCCAAAGATGAAGAAATTGAAGATTTTTACAACCTTCTGCAGTCTGAAATTGATCAAACATGCAATCAAGATGCATTAAAAATTACTGCTCATTTGGAATGTGAAAGTTGGAAACAGAAAAAGGACTGGTAGTTGAAAAATATGGCCTTGGTGATAGAAATGGTGGTGATCCCATTGTAGAATTGTGCAAGACCAATGGCCTACTCATTGCAAATACCTTTTTTCAGCAACATAAATGGTGACTGTAGACTTGGGACCTCATTACATGGAATACACAGGAATGAAATCTACTGTATCTGTGGCAAGTTGATGGAGGAGTCAGTGTCATCACACAGAACAAGGCCAGGAGCCGACTGCAAAACAGACCATCAATTGCTCATATGCAAGTCCAAGTTCAAGCTGAAGAAAATTAAAACAAGTCCAAGAGAGCCAAAGTCTGACCTTGAGTATATTCCACCTGAATTTAGAGACTATCTGAAGAGTAGATTTGATGCACTGAACACCAATGACTGAAAACCAGATGAGTTGGGTTATGACATCAAGGACATCACACATGAAGAAAGCAAAAGATATTAAAAAGACAGGAAAGGAAGAAAAGACCAGAATGGATATCAGAAGAGACTCTGAAACTTGTTCTTGAACATAAAGTAGATAAGGCTAATGGAAGAAATGATGAAATAAAAGAACTGAACAGAAGATTTCAAAGAGCAGCTCAAGAAGACAAAGTAAATTATTACAATGAAATGTGCAAAGACCTGGAGCTAGAAAATTAAAAGGGAAGAACATGCTCGGCATTTCCCAAGCTGAAAGAACTGAAGGAAAAATTCAAGCCTCAAGTTTGCAATATTGAAGGATTCTATGGGCAAAATATTGAACGATACGGGAAGCATCAAAAAAAGATGAAAGGAATACAGAGTCACTGTGCCAGAAAGAATTGGTCAAAGTACAACCACTTCAGGAGGCAGCATATGATCAAGAACTGATGGTACTGAAAGAAGTCCAAGATATTAATGTTGTTGTTGTTGTTGTTACGAGCCGTCAAGTCGGCATCACTACAGAGTAGATTGCCCAACCTTCCTTCCGAGGAGTGGCTTGTGGGTTTGAACCACCAGCCTTCTGGTTAGTAGTCAAGTGCCTTAGGCACTATACTACCAGAGCTCCCAAAGGCACTGGCAAAAAACAAGGCTCCAAGAATTGATGGAATATCTATTGAGATGTTTCAACAAATGGATGCAACACTGAAGAGCTCATTTATCTAGGTCAGGTTATTTGAAAGTCAACTACCTGGCTAACTGACTGGAAAAGACCCATATCTCTGCCCATTCTAAACAAAGGCGATTCAATGGAATGGGAAAATTATCAAACGATATCATTAATATCATGTTGTTTTTGTTGTTGTTGTTATGTGCCGTCGAGTCAGACCCGACTCATAGCAACCCCTCCTTGGGTTTCCAAGGCGGTATCCTTACAGAAGTAGATTGTCCAACCTTCCTTCCAAGGAGTGGCTGGTGGGTTTGGACCGTCAGCCTTCTGGTTAGCAGTCAAGTGCCTTACGCACTATGCTACCAGAGCTCCCAGGTAAAATTCTGAATCCAAAAATGTTTGCATCAGTGCATAGACAGGGAACTGCTAGAAATTCAACCCACATTCAGAAGAGGACACTGAATAAGGGGTATCACTGCTGATGTCAGATAGATCCTGGCTGAAAGCAGAGGCTACCAGAAAGATGCTTACCTGTGTTTTGTGGACTATGCCAGACATTTGACTGTGGATCAGAATGTATTATGGATAACATTGTGAAGAATGGGAACTCCAGAACACTTAATTGTGCCTTTCTTCTGAGGCACCTCTGGGTAGACTCAGATCACGAACCTTTTCAGGTAGCAGTTGAGCATATTAAGCATTTCACCACCCAGACAGTCCTAATCATTGTGCACAGTTGTTAAAGCCTCCCTTTCTGAGGCACAGAGAGAGCAGAAAGCACTACGTCGGTCCACACATGGGCCACATTGCCCAGCCGTGACAGTGATGATACAAATCGCTGTTAGTTTAAAGGAGATGGGGGAGACTCCCTTAGTGTGAGTAACTAATTTACCCAGACACACACAGAAAGGGGGAGAGGGCGAAGAGTTCACTCAGCACAGGAGAAAGAGGACAGACACAATTACACGGAACTGGAGAGGTCAGGAGAGGATGGAGTCTTGCTGAGTGGGGGGATGGAGGGAGGGGAAACCACTAACTGGAGTGGATGCGTGTTAACTTGGGTGAAGGGAAAGGTGACATACAATAAGGGGGGGAGGGGTCAGCACAAAGTGATCCAGGCAGAGGAAGACACTGGGAGGAGCCCAAGAGTCAAAGGCAGCAAAGGTAAATACTGTGACACGCACAATCCTGCAGAAAGAGTAACCTATGAGTGGATACATGCACACCGAACAGGCACGGGAAGGCGAGTGGGACTATACCCACAAGTAGAGATATAAGTGTGACAGAGGATATTTCTAAATATTTTATGTGGGCCAAATACACCCATGGATGTAGTAGAGCATACGGGAGCAAAGTTCTGAAAACTTCTTAGCCACAACCAAACACCCTGAGGGAATGAGTTGCTTGGCATAAGGGCTCAGGACCATAGTCTCAGGGAACATCAAGGTCAACTGGCATAACACAGTCTACAAAGACAATGTTCTACACATCCCACTTAGGTGAGTAGTGACTGGGGCCTTAAAAGTTCATGAGTAACCATGTAAGGTGTAATATTGGTCTCTCCAAGTCCAGAGCAAAGAAGAGTGAAGAAAATCAAAGACACAAGGAAACAATTAGTCCAAAGGACTAATGGACTATGTGAACTCCTGCCTCCTGCCTCCATGAGCCTGAAACCAGAAGAACTAGATGGTGTCTGGATACCACTGCTGACTATGCTGAAAGAGATTACAATAGGAGGTCCTAGACAGAGTAGGAGAAAAATGTGGAAGAAAACTCAAAATCATGTGGGGGGGAAAAAAAAAAAGGCTTACTGGTCTGACAGAGACTGGTGGAACCCCCTCCTCCAGACTATGACCCTCAGACATCTTTCAACCCTGAACTCAACTCCCCACAACTTTCAACCAAAAATCAGACAGGCATATAAGGTGAACAGTAACCCAGAGAGATGTGCATACCTCAGAACAATCAACCGCAGGGGGTTTAAGGGTGGCATTTGCCCAGGGACAAAGCTCAAAAGGCAGGAAGGGATAGAAAAGAAGGCTGAATGGAAACACAGGGATGAGGTGGGAAGAGTGGTGATACATTCCAAGGATTGCAATCAATGTCACAAAACAAAATGTGTATGAACTGTGGAAGAGGAAACCAAATTGCTCTGTAAAATTTCACTCAAATCACAATGAAAAGCTAAAGAAGAAACAGGAAACGGAGGCTCGCAGAGTAAGGCAGGATGGTGGAGGTGTGGAATTTCCCAGT